GAAAGTAGAGTACAATGAGTTCCAATTAGGCGATGCACTGAAGCTGAGGTGTTTTATACACTGCCTGGCCAAAAAAACAGTCACCACCAAAATAAAAACAAAAGAAATGGTCACACGCACTAATATTTCATTGGACCACCTTTAGCTTTAATTACGGCACACATTCTCTGTGGCATTGTTTTGATAAGCTTCTGTAATGTAACAAGATTTATTTCCACCCAGTGTTGCATTAATTTTTCACCAAGATCTCACATTGATGATAGTAGAGTCTGAACTTCTCCAGCACATTCCAAAGATTTTGATTAGACACTGGAGCCAATCCATGTGTGAAAAAGATGTCTCATGCTCCCTGAACKACCCTTTCACAATAAAAGCCCGATGAATCCTGGCATTGACATCTTGGAATATGTCCGTGGCATCAGGGAAGAAACAARCCATTGATGGAATAACCTGGTGATTCAGRATATTCAGGTCAGCTGACCTCATTCTTTGAGCACATACTGTTGCTGAACCTGAACCTGACCACCTGCAGCGACCCCACATCATAGACCTTYGTTAAATCCAGCATTAGGCTGTGAGACAGAACCTGTGACTTCAGTTTATTGTTCTATGACACATTTCTAATGACCTTCTGTTGTAAGTCTTTAAATGTCTGACTTGTTCTTTTTTCCTTGGCAGATCCAAAGTCAGGTAGGATGTTTTCTATTTTTTACCATTTGTTTGTCTTTTTTTGACATTCTACCAGTTTGTTTCACTGTGTCTGCAACAAAAACATGTAAATACAGAGGTCTATCTAGATTGCAACACTTGCATCATTTTATTTGGAACTCACATTTGCAAAATGTTTCTAAATAAAATAAGTGCTAATTTTTTGTGTGTGCTGTTAAAACAACTTGAACTGCTCAAACTGTCAGTAACAACTCATTGAGTTTTTTGGATTTATTAAGTTTAATGAAAACTATTTTTACAAAGGTGAAACTGGAGACTGCGTGTGAAAATGTTTAGGTAACTACAAGTTCAAATATAAATTATTAAAGAGTTTCTGAAAATCCTTAATTTTTTATTAGTTTTCAGTTTTGCAGTCAACATCCACAACTTTAATATAAATCTTGTGGACATCAAAACACAAAAAGTTGCCTGTTTCAAAGAAATAAGTGTTTTTAATGTGAAACTTCAGGTTAGTTTTAAGCTCCCTTTAAAAGGATTTTAGTATTATGGCAAAAAAAAAAAAATCTTCTGACAGACTTGTACAAACTGGAGGGTATTTTTGACTCCTAGCGTGTTTCTTTGAGAAAGTTTTTAAAGGGCTGAACTGGCAGTTTCTTCAAAGGCTATTTTCTAAAATGCCTCGTCACTGGTGGAAGTTAGTCATCCCATGAGGTGGCCCTTCAGTGTTTCTCCAGAGGTGACCTGGCCCTGGCAGCTTTATTAATTATAGTTTCTTTAGGGCTATGGCCTATTTGTAAATCCTCCTCTACCTGCCCTTGTCTGCCTTCCTTCTGAGCGGTCCTACCTTRGCCTGCTCCGTGTGCGGAGCGCTGGGTGCTGCTGATAGCTGAGGTGAGGGTGATGAGGTGAGGTGGAGGAATCATGTCGACAGCCTCCGCCGTGGCTCGTTCCACCTCTCTGAGTTTCATTTCTCCCCCCACCTTCATTTTTCATTTAAGAAGGTGACACAATATGCTCTCAGCCCAAGGGGTAAAAATGTGCCATCGATTTCCCCTCCCATTGTGGAAGTCTGATGCTTCACTCATCCAGGGCTCGAAAGTTAGATCGGAGTCCAGCAAAATAAACCAAAAAACACATTTTATGCTTATAAACATAGTGTGTCCAGCCAGGCAGTCAGCACTTAGAACAAAAATTCAGCCTTCAGGTTTCTCCTATCAATTAGAAAGTTGTAGCAATTACAAAAAACATTTTTTTTACTTAAATGAGAAACACTAACATTCCTAAAAGTCAAAATGTAAATCTGAAATATTTGGTCYTGTAAACTGAAAAGGATGCATGCAGATCGATTTCATGCCTGCACTGCCTCAGTTTACCTTAAAGTTCAGGCAGTGCAGGCATTCAATTATAAAACACAAGGTAAAGTTCTCATTTTTAAAATGTAATTGGTGAATTTTACATGCATTTATTTAATTATTGGGGCGTTTATCCATTTCTGCTTTTATTTTTAATTGTCAGTTTCAGCCCTCCGTAGATTTGAGTCYCGGAGTACAAGTATTGCTTAAAATGGAAGCAGAAAGATAAACTGCTTTAATCAAGAAGAGCTTCTAGCTGCAAGGAAACAATTTTGAAGAGTGAGAGGCATGAAGCAAAGTTACCAAACTTTATCAGTTTCATTTTTGCTAAATATTTTTGACAAAAAAAAAATGCTCTCAGAAGTTATGCGATTGCACCGAGTCAATATTTCATCAACTAAAAGCTACTGTTAAATATAAAACTTTTGATGAAGTGTCTTATTTGGAAGGTAGAGGAGAGACCTTTTTTAAACCAGTCAGATTAGTGCTTAAAATGATTTATTCTATATTTTACATTGTACAAAATTCTTTACTATGTGTTGGACTGAGGAGTTTTTATCGCTGTGTGGATTTTACAAGGTGCCAGATGTTCACTCTTTGCCATCCGGTGTGCACCGTCAACAGGCTCATTAGCTTSGGGGGGGGCTTCTGTCTTTACTGCAATATGAACAATTTCTTCTTCTTTTTTTCTTTGTCCATCCAGCAGGGTTTTTTTCTTTTATGTGTTCACTCAATGATTATTCACATCATGGCATGTCTTTATCACGTTCAGTTATCTACATGATCATTGACAGATTTTGGTGTTTTTTTTTTGTTTTGTTTTTCCCAGTGACATCAATCCTTCAAATAAGGACTTTGAATATGACTATAGAACTCAAATTCCCTACGTTTTGTTTTAAGGCAAAAAAACAATTTCACACTGAATTTTAGCTGCAATCTGTGAAATCACTTTTATGAATAGAAAAATGAATTTCAGCAAAGAGACATTCTTATCTGCAACTTTGACAGTTGTTTTATGCCTGTTTCACATGGAAAGAATTTAAAATTGTTGGCAAATTTTCAACTGAGAGAGCATACGTTAAAAAAATGTAGCTTCATTTTTAGTATTTTGGATTCCCTTCCATGTTTCCGCAGCCAGCTTGTTTGTCCTCAGAGAACACCACACATGCTGGGATATCGAGTCAAAACAATCCAGCATGTTAAAAATACCCAATTTGAGGTCTGAGTGGTCCTGATGTCCTTCTTAACACATGGCAGGGATATCTCATAAAATGATCTAATTGGACCGTCCAATTGTGCCAAAACTCTGCACAATGGGGYCCTTCACTCGTGATGTAAATCAATTACATACATTTTCTGCAGCTCGCTCAACAGATCGGATGGTCTCGATTCTATGGAGTCAGTGTTAATACCATACCAGAAAAAAATGTTCCTAGAGTAGATTTTTTTTTACACGTCTGACATCAGAAATCACAGGAAAGTTCAGTTGAAAGATTGACTGCAGGGTCGACAGACTTGAAAAGTTAGCAAAATTGTAAAAAGGTTGGTGTTTTTACTCATGTCTTTTAGCTTAGCTAACTGCATTTAGTCTGTGTGTATTTTTATCGCTCAAGTCACCGCTTCTGTAGCCTGGTAAAAACCAGACCCTTGTCCTTCACTTTGCTTCGAACCGAGGGTCTGGACTCGCCGCCATAGGGAAGCGATTCTTGCTGGAGGCGTGGCCTCTGCTGAAATGTTTGTGTGTCGCTGTGAAGGAGGCTAAGCTAAGAAGCTAACCGGAAATCGCGAGCGCTGTAAACAWCCCTACTGAGAGGAGAAAAGCACCGAGCCGAATGAGACGACTGTAAATGAGAGCTGCTGCTTTGTCAAATTTATTTTAATTTGGAAGCCTTATCAACACGGACTGGCTTCATTCACTTCCTCCACTGCCATTTGCTAAACTAGCAGACACTGCACAGAAAATCAACGTCATTCAAAACCCCGCCTTCTGTTTGTTGATTGGCCCAGGTAAAATAAACWACAAGCAGACACTGTGCAGAAAATCAACGTTCTGTTCTGATTGGTTCGGCTAAAAATCTGCCAGCGAAATCTTTGTCAATGGGAGAAATGCCAGACYYAGCAGTGAAGGGAAACTAGAARTGAATGGAGCTGCGTAGGAAGGCAAGGGCCAGGCTACCGCTTCTGCATTGTTTAAAGAAACATACGTAAATAGTGATGTTTAGAATTTTTGTAAGTAAAATATTATCACAGTATGTGTGACTGCAGTAGATTGCAGTATGAGGCTAGCATGGATGCTAGGAGTAAAGCTAGCAGTWGGCTACAGTAAAAAATATAAAGTTTACTGTACCTGTTTATCAACAGAAAGTGCAGGGATAGGATCAGGGTGGTCCAGTGTTGGTCTTTTACCTCTGATAAWTTGGAGCAGATGTTAAATCCTTGGTCGCACTTTTTTCTGGTCAAATTCAACTCGTCCCATCGGTTGAATCCAGCAGTTAGCCTAGCATCATAGCTAGTTGAGAAGGCTGATCAAAAYTACTCCTTTCATATTGGGAAGAASRGTATCACGATGTTTTYTGGTCCTCCCAGTGGAGTTTGATGCTGTTTTCCTGAATTTYTTTAAGTTTAAACACATCTAGACCAGCACYGTGCCATTGAAATCAGTGGAGCTGGTATGAGAGTTTGTGCAACCATCGAGCGAACATAGTCACGTGACTCGTGTTCTAAAAACAGCCAGAGTGAAGGTCCCTATTATCTTACCATGTGAACCTGGCATTYGTTGTTTTACACTGGTTTCAAAATGTACCCTTACTGACATCTGGGGTTATTTATTTTTTTATCATTACTTCCAGAATCCCATCTGCAGGTTTGTTGCATTTCCATTAAAACCATGACTCTTTCGCCTTCAGCCACGTCGTCTGCTTCTTGGTTGTARTTCTCAAGGTGGTTAAAGCTCCCTGTTTTCCCTCGTGTGTCTTCCAGGATTTTGGGGATGATGGCTCGTTGTACATCACCAAGGTGACCACCACCCACATGGGCAACTACACCTGCCATGRTGACGGATATGAAAAACTCTTTCAGACGCACATTCTTCAAGTAAACGGTAGGGGATTTGTACCTGTCAAAGTTTTTGTTTAAATAATTAKATCATCAGCTGTGACAACGCACCAGCTACTGTTATATAAGTAATAATGCTGTGAAATTTGGTCTTTGTCATCTTTGCTCATGCTCAGCAAAGTGGCAGTGAGGTATTATCAATGCATGTTCACACTAGGCAGCAAATATCTGTCAAAGCAGCTTCAAAAAAACATGACAGCCTGAAAGTGTTGAGGAATCTACAGTGAATCATCACTCCGATATGCAACTCACCTTGACATCATGGAGCTTAACATTGAGTTTGATTCCAGAGTACAGCTCACCGTTCACTACTTTTTTGTTTTGCTTTGTTTACTTGCTTTTATTAGTATGTTAAACATGCCCTTACCGTTGGCTATAGAACAGCACCGGGAGTTCCTTTGTTCTCATGTTGCAGTTCCATTGAGCCGACCCCCACGCCTAGACTCAACTCCAGTTACCTTCTTAATTCAGGAAGAAATGACGAACGGCACTAGACCTTTCTGTGAAAGGGATTTGTAAGCAATTGTTCAATTACCTTTAAGCCCAAGAAAAGACTGCGCAGCATAATAAAAGAGCTCGAACCCCTAAACTCTGCACCAGTTTTGAATGGATACCACCAGTGCAAAGCTAATAGTCATTCAGGMGGTGTGTTTCCTCACAAATCTATTCAAGCTGTTTAAAGCAGATTCTGTGAATTACTTCACACTCTTAAGAATTTCTCCTGCTTTATCAAATGTCTTTGTGAACTTTACACCCTATTAAATTCCAGGAGTATGAAACCTGTGCCCGTTTAGTGYTCAACTCAACCACAACTTCATTTAGCCAAGATGTTGTACATTGATAAGTTTTATAGGTTGCTTTTTGTAATTTATTTGGCTTCATACAATGAATTATGTGAATGCTGAAAGAAAGATGGTACATAGAGGACAAAGGTGAAGTTTGAACCTCACTGATTTCATGTGCTGGGTTTATATAAATGTCTGTAGACAGGGAATGAAGCTCAATTACATTTGACAGACAGTTGGTTCATTATCATTCTTCCAAAAGATTACTCTGAGGTTAATTGCACTGATATACAGGCCTTATTGTGTATAMGGAAACAGGGTGAATCTCACGAGTCTAATAACTTTTGGTTGTAATTAATATTGTAACTTCCACATGACCTTTTCACTGAAGGCTCAGTTTCACATCCTTAATGTGGGTGAAGTCTCGAAGGACCTCCTATCACCCTGCCATGTTGAGATTTCACACAACTCAATTAGGAAGCAGCTGAAATGGGCTAATTTGTATAAGGTGGATTCAAATTTCTGTCAATCACTCTACAACAGCTTGAAAATGATGATATACATTTGATGACGTAAGCTAATTGCAATGTGAAGACAACCATGAAAATTTTTTGGCAATCCTTTATTTTACAGTCCCCTAATTACCATGCAATTACCTAGCTTTTAAGACCTTGSATGAAATGGTTAGCGACTATTTACTATGCAGTTACTTGCCAATTACTGTAATTTATATGCAATTGCTTTGTAAGAACAAAAAATACTATGTAATTCAACAAATTTTAGTAGGTTATTACAATTACAGTTCAATAGTATCTCAATTACCCACTATTTGCCATCAAATTGCCAGCTTTATTTTAGTCACCTAATTACCATGTTATTATAAAGTGAATACATAGAAAATAGCAATGTAAATAAACTAATTCTGTGATCATTTCAATAAATTTACAGTGTAATAGTACATCAGTTACACAGCATTTACCAACAAATTACTAATTAAATTTCCACATACTAAACATAAATACAGTCCCTAATTACCATCTCATTACCAAGTAAGTACTTAGTAAATTGTAGCAAATTACTATGCTAGTAGAAATTTCTTTTGGGTAACTACAATTGAATTACTGTTCAATAGTACCTCAATTACATACTATTAACTAAAATACTACAAAATTTCCACATTTTATATCGTCTTACTATGTAATTACAGATAATTAGTGGGTTATTGCAATAAAATGCCAGCAATGCCAAAATTACATACCATTTACTTGTGTTACACAGTTAATTGTAATATATTACCAGGTACAGTAAATTATGTATGAAAAAATTTACAAAGTGTGTAAAAATAAAGTTGTAATTTGTTGGCAAATAGTGGGTAATTGAGATACTATTGAACTGTAATTGTAACAAAATTACCCACTAAAATGTGTTTAATTACATAGAATTTTATATGTTCTTACCAAGTAATTACATAGTAAATTACACACAGTACAGCACAGTAATTATTGGACTGTAAAAGAAAGGATTACCTGATTTTTTTATTACACCRTTTTAACTGGCTTATCCAAATGTTATTAATGTATTGACAGTTTACATTTTGGGTTAAATCCAAATACTTCCAATGACAGTAAATTGGACAGTCAAGTGTTATTGTCAGTGTGTTATTATCCTAAWGTTGTCCCTTTTGTTGAGGTTAATGGTAGATTTTCACTTTGTGCCGGCAGCTCCTTTYTTTTGTTTGTTGCATTGACCCCACTTTACTCACATGAATCAATAAAGTTGCATCTCATTTGCTCCTTGTGGCTGCAGCGTTTGTCCAATCCAAACCACTTTAGTAGAGAACAAATCAGTGTTTGGGAAAGATTAATGGAAGTGCAGTTAAAACGTAAATTACACCAAGTTTCTCCCTAATTTCCTGCATTCACAGTGAAAATAAATTTCAAAACAAATTGTCATATTTTCAGTTATTGTGTTTTATAACTCCCATTAAATGTGTTACTGTCCATTTTAGGGCATCCAACAATAATTTCCTCAGAGATATTACCCCYGTTGTGAGGTTATGAAGTTGGAAGTTTCAGGGGTTTTTTGTAGGATGGGTGTTTTGTTGAAGGTTAGCTGTGGGTGGCAGGTAGAGACGTGGCCCTTGTGTGATGATCCCTGTCTTTGAAGAAAAACATACTGCTGGCCTGAAATGTCATAAATCTAGTTAGGGAGGGCCAGAGGTAAAGGTGGAAACAGACTAATGAGAGCTTACCTCGATACACTGTGCAAGCTCTGGAACCAAAGTCCTTGATTAAAGCGAGGTTGTCTTTCTCCACAGRTGGTTGATGTGGGGATTCCTGCTCTGTGCTGAATGCTGCTGCTGTGCTGTAGTGTTTTTTTTTTCTTTTCSTAGTACCAGAGGAATACCCACAGTTAAAAGTTTGAGTCTGAGCAATGTGCAGGGGCCGAGAATCCGCTCAGATGAAGTGTGCAGATTTGTGGATTTGCTGTGTCTGGTTGGGGTTAGAGGGAAGTTGTAAAGTGTGAAAGTCAAGGCTTTGTTGACACTGGAGAGGTCAGTTTGGAAGGCAGAAGCTGCCTGATTTATCCGTGTTGAGGGTTTTTCTTTTAAATTTATTTCTGACAGAATGAGCTGCTAATTCTAAAGAGTGCTTTATTTTATGGGGCAGGAGGAGGTATTGTGTATTTTCCACATCCATAGATCAATTTTATACCACAATCAAGTAACTATGTTACCTTCAGTTGTTATGAAAGTGCTGTATACATCCAACATCTACAGTAAATGCCTTTGAAATTGGGCTCTGTCTCTTTAAGAACCTTTGCCGTTTACTACACTCTCACTTCAGCATGTCTTCACAACAATGCCTCAGTGGAGGGAGGCTTTGTAGTGAAGGAGCTCAGATAAAGACTGAGCTCCAGGGAGGAGCTTTGGGTAAATAGGCGGAGCTTTGTACCAGCAAGCATTTGGGCAGCTCCTACCACTAGCCTGGCCCTTGCCTTCCTACACAGTTCCGCTCTATTCTAGTTTCCCTTCTCTGCTCTGTCTGGGACTTCTCCCACAGACGAGGATTTCTTCAGGAGAATTTTCGTCCGGGCCAATCAGAGATCAGAACGTCGATTTAGTTTAGCAAATGGCAGTGGAGGAAGTGAATGAAGCCAGTCCGTGTTAAGGCTTCCAAATTAAATTTAATTTGTCTGACAAAGCAGCAGCTCTCATTTACAGTCGTCTCGTTCGTCTCGGTACTTTTCTCCTCTCAGTAGGGTTGTTTACAGCACACATGATTTCCGGTTAGCTTCTTAGCTTAGCCTCCTTCACAGCGACATACATCGCGGCCAACCGATCCAATCATCTCAAACTTCAGCAGAGGCCACGCCTCCAGCTAGAATCGCTTCTCTATAGCCGCGAGTCCAGACCCTCGTATGAAGCAAAGTGAAGGACAAGGGTCTGGTTTTTACCAGGCTGTGTTACCACAGGAGATTCAAGGATTTCTCAAACATGCATGAATGAGTCAAAGCAACACTCTGGGTATTTTGATGAGGTAATGACATTTATTATTTATTCATTTATTTATTCACCGTTATTTAACCAGGCAAGTCCCATTGAGATCTCAGATCTCTTTTTCAAGGGAGGCCTGGGCCTGAAAGCAACCTGTTGTACATGGMTTTTTTTTGTGTGTGTGTTGTGGGGGAAACCGGAGTACCCAGAGAAAACCCACGCAAGCACGAGGAGAACATGCAAACTCCCCACAGAAAGACCCCAGGTCCAAACTGGGAATCGAACCCAGGACCTTCTTACTGTGGGGCGTCGGTGCGAACCACTGAGCCGTCGTGCTGCCAAACATAACATGACATAACATATAAAACACAAAAAACATTGATTTTGCATAATACCCCCTGAATGACTTAGAGTATTTTACAAATTTGCACCTTTTATTTGTTGGTTAAGTTACATAAGTGTTTAATATTTTGTCTAAAAATGTCTACTGAAACAAAAATATTAGGTCAAATAGAAACTATTACCAAAGGAGAACCAGAAATACTCATTACTGCAGTATTGGAGTATTTTCTAAATTTCTATTATGCTTTTCAATTTTTGTGCCTCATATTTTTCATGCAACTCCTCTGACATTTTCTTTTTCTTAACTATAGTTTTAAAGTTAAAAAGTGCTGTATCATGTCGTATATGAAATCGATGTCATGC